AAATTTAATTTTGATTTTTTTAAAACATTTATCGAAGTTTTTACGACTTTTTTTTAAATTCTAGTTTCTCGCACATTTAAACTGGGTTAATTTTTTTCTAATTTTTTTGTATGCGGTTTCTTAACGAATAATTAAAAGAATACAATTTCAATTAATTTGATTATTAAATTATAATTAATTAAACCGAAGTTAGTACTTTCGCAATTTTTTTATGCAAGTTTAATCGCGTCATTAATGTCAAAATGTCAAAAGAGAGAGAGAGAGATGTAAAGTAAATGACCATAAAACAATATATCGTGTCATAAGTCATCCAATGTAACATGATGGCTTACATGATACGATCAATAGTTTATCTTGTCACATTTTTTTTGATTGATCAGATCAGTTTTTTTGAGGAAATCCGACCAAGTCCTATTTGTCGATGCTCGCCGAACTGTGCAGGACCTATTTTTCAGTTATTTTTTCTTAATTTTGATTTTTTTTACCTTAACACGATATAAATAATGTTACATAGTTAAAAACGTCCCAGCAAAATATGGTAGAGACCTAGTTTCTAGTAATAGTTATTTATAAAATTAACTTAAGGTGAAGATCATCGATAGCAATCATATTTCGATTAAGTAATGATAGGATAAAGTTTTTCCTTCTTTTCCGATGAAGCTAGTATATTCTTCCCTCCCCTTTGCTGAATAGACTAGACCACCTGTACCTTTCCACACGCACGTCTACCTTGTTATAGAGAGCGATAGCTGCGACTATTCGATACGATGGTCTGAAGCTCTGTAGGTTATCGATGGTGCAGGTTGTGTCTGTTACTTGATCCAGGATCAGTAATAAGTGGTGTGTGATGCATCGAAACTATGGTCGGCCAACGTGGTGTTACTTAGGAATTTTACGGGTTGCATATTATGCATAGAGGCACCAACGATCTATATCAGCTTGAGGAACTAGTGTCAATTCGCCTTACCGAGCAGAAAAAAAATGAAGGTACATCATACTCGATCGTAATTTAAATACATAAAATACCGTACAAAACGCGCGATGTTTATCGGAGTCGAGGTATGATTCATTTCAAATAGCGAATAACTGCTTAATTTTTCATATTTATGTCATTTTAAGTATTGTGCTATTTACACAGGCGCGTGTTTCCTCTTTTAAGATTCGAGTTGAATGAATTGTAGTACAGAAAAGGAAGCTTGTTTTCAATATAATGCCCTTGACTTATATCTGTAATTAGTGTTATCTGAATGAAAACGTTAGTAGAAATGGAAACAATTTAAATAAATGTTGTTTTTTTCTTTTTTGGTGTAAATGATTTTGCAGTTTCTTAAACTGTTGCTATTAAGTATTAAATTTTATATTGGATGATTTATCATATTTTTTAAATAAAATACTAAAAAATATAATATATATATATAATTTGTATATTTAGTTTGAAATGTATTATGATATAAAAAATATTTAATTTATGCTATATTTTGGCAAATTTGTCAAAATAAAGCATTGATATAAGTATAGGAAACAATATATAAAATGCCAAATAAATAAATTTTAATCAGATATTATCTTAATGAACTGTGATTTCTTTTTTTTTCTAATTTATCTGTTACTTCATTCTATTCTGATATAATTTTTTAACAGTAAAATAATCATAGATTGTTATGAAATACTGTGTTTATTTTGACACTACAAAACAATGCCAATCTGTTAAAAATACTGTGAATTTCTATAATTTAATTTTTTAGTATTTAGTTTCTTATTTTATATCTGTCATTTATTTGTTTTTTAGTCTTATGTTCGGATCGTCTTAGCCAGATGACAAAGACATACAATGACATAGATGCTGTGACCAGGCTACTCGAGGAGGTATGCATAACTGATAAAAATAAGATTATTTTAATTTATAAGTGAAAGTAATTTAAATGTTTGTGATAGAATATAATAAAAATAGAATTTTATTTGGTTGCCATGTATTAGAAGAATGGATATTTTCCTATATTGAAATATACTAAATATTTTTAATACAATTCATGTGTGTGTTATTGTCCTGTTAAGTGAATTTTGATGAATAAGACAAAGTAATGAAGTTCACAAAACATTTTTTAATACATATGTCATTTATTTTTATTTCCTTTTTATTTCTTTTTTTTATTTGTATTTTCCGATTACACACATTTTCAAGCAATTTTTATGCAAAAGATTAAAAAAATAATAATAAAGAATTGCAAATGGGCTTTATTATATTTTAATTAGTTATATTATATGAAATCAAAAATTAACTCATTTAATACTTATAATTTTGTTATGTAGTTGGTATATGATATTAATGTAATAATCCATTGAGTACAAATATAATAGAAATTATCATTATTAAATAGCAATATAGGTCACTTCTAAATTTAACTGATATTTAATGATTACAGTATATATTGAATGTGTGTTGTAAATAAAAAAAATGACTAAATTTAATTCCTAAAATTAGAACAAAATATAGAAAAATAAATATAAAAAAAAAACCCAAAATTAAAGATAATTAAAGTTTAAATCAGCAACAAGTGATGGTTTAATCAATATTATTTAAAGAGTTGTACAATATGGTAGCTATTAAATATATATAAGTATTGGATTTAATGTGTAGTTCATATTGATAGATCTATTTTTATTATTGTTAGTTTAATCAATCAATTGTATTATTTAGTATTTGTATTACATAATATTTTATGCTTTATTCAAGAGGAATGAATAAATTTAGCTATTATCAACAAATAATTTGATTGATTGTTGTAAAGTAAAATTGTTAATTTGAAAATTAATAATTTTACTTTGGTGATTTATTTCATTTGATACAATTTATGACTAGATTTATTTGTTTTTCTCACATCAAGTAATACAATATTAAATATCATGTAATAACTAATTTACTATATTTGTAATATTGATTTGTATAAAAGTTTAATCAGTTTAAAAACAAATCCCATTAATATGATGTAATCAAAGAAACAGTATCATTCAAAAGTAAAGTTTGGAACTGTTTTGGAACAATATAAAATCTATCATTCAGCAGTTGCCATTTTTTCATTATCATTTTAATTTAGTAAATTTTTTCTTGTGGCATATGTTAATGATTAATTTAATAGTTTCAGTATGTATGTTTGGTTATGATGATATAGTTGACGTTTATTTCAAATCATAAAAACTGTACAGAAGTTTTATATAATGTGTACATGATTTTGAACAAGAATTTAAAAATTAGCGATTATTCTTATTATAATTTTTCTTGAATGTTGGGAATATTTCTATAAAAGTGTTGCAATATGACATTTTGCTGATAATTAAATATGAGGAGAATTTGTTATGGAAAATTTAAATATTACATCAAAATAAGGATTTTTATTGAGTCATTTTAAGTATTGTTAGAATAATCCTTCTATGAACATTCTCACAATAGTATTGGTTATCACTAAGATGATTTAACTAGAATAACAGTCGTCATATTTTTTACTATACCATTTTAACTCTTAACAAAAATACCTTTAAGGATATATAAAAAAATGTCAACTTAAAAACCTAAAAGTTGAACTGAAAACCAGTATACAGCAATACCCCGACTTACGCGAACCCGGAGTTACGCGATTTTCAAATCTCGTCGATTTGTCTTATGTTTGAGCGCCACGCAACCCTTGATTACTCACTTCCCCACACTATTGTTCAGCTTACATGTTCTGATGTGTTGTGCGGAATCCACACATAGCTACAACTTATTTTGTGTTATTTATTTCTGTGTTTGTTATATATACGGAGACTCCAGAGACTCTACTATGTCATCCAAACGAAGTAGAACTAATTCTTCTGCATCAAACAAGAAAAGAAAAACTTTATCTTTGGAATTGGGTATGTTCGTAAAGTCGAACGAGTTAAGCGAGAATGAAGTCATCGCTATTCCTATTTCATTAGACTTTTTGAACGATTCGTTACTAATGCGTTTAACTCGTCTGACTACGAATGTACCCATTATTAAAGACTTCGATACAAAAATGAAAATTTGTGAATTGGCAAAGGAGTTTGATCTACCAGAATAGTCGGTCAGAACAATTATAAAAGGCAAAGAAAAAATTCTCGAAGCTGTGAAAAATGCTCAATCTTTACATTCAAGCATCATTCGTAAACGTCACAGTATTATCGCTGAGATGGAAACAATGTTAAAATTATGGCATAATAATCAAGTAAATGTGAAAAATTGTAAAATAATATAGGCCTAATTTGTTATACATATGTATTATCTAANTTCTTACGAAAACCAATTATAATTGATTATATTTTCTGCTGAATCGAATGACTAAAGTGGCGTGCTTAAGTGATTATAATTATGTAATATCGATATTTTGCCTTTAGGTACAAAAATATCTCGCCGACATCGAGAAAAAGAAGTCACGAGAAATTCCCGGGTAATAACTAATTACAGAAAAGCGAAATCATTTGAATAAAGTGTTTTTTTTTTTTTTCATTTGTCAACAATCTGATAAGCGGATCCGTTTTATGATTTATAAATGTGCATGAATAAATCGCTTAGCAACAAAATTATTAATTTATTAAATATATGTTATAATTGTTTTTTACTTTGTTATTAATTGCTGTAAATTTAATATTTTAAAAAGCAGGTTTAGAACATTTCAGGTATTTTAAACGATCGACTTACAATGTTAGCTGGTTGCTATACTTTATTCCTTACGACAACAAAACCATACTCGTACTGTAGTACGAACATTGTCACTTGTCAGCATACTAATCCATAGTCCATTATTTTCCTTAAAAATAATAATAGGCTTAAATAAATCAAATGAAATAAAATGTTAACTAATCGGAAGGACTATTTGCCTGACCGATGGACTAATAAAAAATAGTTTGAGTTATAGAACTATACTGTATAGTAAAACTGGTGGCGTAGCGAATATAACTGGCGCCCGGAGCATGACACTTTATTGGCGCCCCCCAGAAACACACATAGTTTGTCTTGGAGACCATTTTGGCGCCCCTCTGCGAGTGGCGCCCGGTGCATGTTACACCCCCTTGCACCCACCTCGCTACGCTACTGAGTAAAACCTGTTCAAAACGGAAATCTTCTGAACCGGAAAAATATTTGGTATCATGCGAGTCCGGTTTACACATGTTTTACCTTACGTTCTCACCAATAACTACTGTTATAGTATTAACCGTAGCATAAAAACTTGTGTATGTGCGTGTTATATATATACTGTATTTACAATAATCCAAGAACATCTATTTTTATTTCAGTTTCGTATGTATCAGTAGCCATTGTTGTAATTTTAAATAACGATTACTGATATTTCTATTTACTTAAGACCGAAAATATTCGTCCTGGTATGATTTAACTTCATTTTTAAAAATTTCAAAATTGTTTTTCATCAAATAAATAAGTCGAATTATATATCAATTTATCGGGGGAAGTTTCTAAAAAATATTCGTATTTAAATAATAGTTTTTAAAATTTATTCTCGTGTTGCATCAGAATTAGTAAAGGGTGTGGACGGAAACTCGAGTCGAAGTTTTGTTCTAATATAAAAGTATGCAAAGTAACGATTCCAGAAAATTTTCGAGTTTTCGAGAAATCTTAAACCACGGAAAGACTTAGAGAAAACGAATGAATAAACTATTAGAAAGTAAGAAGAAAGTGATGATCTATATAGAAAAGTCGACACGCCCAAATAACTGTATTTAACGTGTATTGTGTAGAAAATGTTCACGTACACATTTACATATTTCATTTGTAACACACTAAATACAGACGTAGATAATCGTTGTTTAGAATACGGACATTTCTATTCACGACAGTTTAATAGATACAATACAATCTTACAATAGATGAAATACAGTAAAACCTGTACAAAACGGAAACGTGCCGAAACGGGAAAACTTCGGAACGAAGCGATTTTCTATGTTAAAAAATCTGCCAAACCGGAAAATATATTCAGTACCGTGCGATTCCGGTTTACGCAAGTTTTACTGTATATATCATACATAGTAAGTTCGAACGTAAGAGTAATTTACTACTGTATATTCAATTCGGCTATTATATACATATATTACTTTTCATTTTATCTGCATGGTAAAAGTCAGATATTTGAGAGTAAAAGTAATAATATAATAAATTCCTTAATGTACAGTATCCTATTTCACGCTATAATTATATTCTAGACAAAATAAAACTTGATCTTCAATTATACCCTTTTCAAAGTCCGCTTTATCGGTCTCTAATTCTGAATGATTGATCAAAAGATAATTACCTGGGTTGTTTTGTACTTGACCTATATCATGCATCCGACACCAAGAACACTCTCATAACTGTTTATTCGTGTTTTTGTTACGTTTACTGACTTTCGTGCGAATTTCGTGGCTCAGTCAGTACCTACGGTAACACAAGATACAATTACTTTTGTTACCTGCGTCACTGGGCCACGCTATTTATTCTCATTATTTCTTCCGGTGATACAGTCAAACCTGTTCAAAACTGAAATCGGACAAATATTCGGTGCGAGTCCGGTTTACACAGGTTTTACTATATATATTTTTCACAAACAGCGTTTTATTTCGACATTTCACACGCTTAGGAAATGGTAAAACAGAAACTGCTCGCATATTTTCGTATTTTAAAATATTATCCTGTATTGAAAACAATATAATAATCAAGATATTGCTTCTAGTGTTTTTGTTTTATATGTTGAATATAATTTGTCCATTTGGACTGTTTAAATACAAATTAATACAAAATAAATACAAATACAAAATAAAATTTAATAAAATGATTAACGATTTTGTTAAGTTGTCATTTTTAAAAATAATTCTAACGTTTGTTTGAGCACACTTGTCATTTTTCACATTAGAAAGTAACTTGTAGGCAATTAATTTGTTTGAGAGATCGAAAATAAACTTTGTTTTCCCTAGATTTATATTAATTTACATCGCAGCGACTTATTTTTAAATAAATATTTTTCAAATATAATAGACAAATATTTAATAAAAATTTAATAAATTTCGTTGCGAAATACGAATTTTTACGTACAATCTAATTTAAATATTCAGTATATAAATAGGAACATTTTTCAAAAGAACAAAAGTTATGCACAATCAACTAATAAATATTCATAATGTCTTATCTAATTAAAATTTTTTCTCAGACTTTAAATGAGTGGCCAGTGATGAAAAGATCCTATTGAAGTGAATAAACATCTGTGGTCATTGCCTTTCCTGTTGTGTGAGATTGTTTTTGAGAATTAATTGTCGATCCATTCAGAAAAAATTCTTCTTTTTTCTTCTGATACGGATGGTATGATCTTAACGCTTACAGCCAAGGATAACTAACAAAACAGCAAAGGCGAACTCTCAATTTAGAAACGTCTAACAATGTGACTTGTGTACCTGTAATAGTGACGAGAAGCCCGTGTATTAATAAACTGTACTAAAATTATGTTTTTGTCCTGCGCCTTTTTGTTTATCCTTTAACAATTTAAAATAAATTGGCGGTTTTATTTTGTTGTTTACAGTTGACGGAGGAACAAATTTATTTCTGTATTGTATGCAGAATAATAATAATTGATTATTTAAATATTGATACTGGTATTTTGGAACCACGTCATGTGGTTTGCTTCAAGGTCAGGCTTCCAAACAGGATTATCGTGTCGGTCGGATAAAAATTCGAATTTTTTGGCATTTGTTGTTCTCGAGATGCCACTAGTCACTACTCTATGACTGTGTACTAAATGTGGTTTTTACCTGTGATGCGATATGTGCGTTTTAAGTGCGCGGAATAATATAAAAAAGTAGAATAAAATTCGTATATGTGTTTGTTAGCGTGATTATCATTTTCGTTAAGATTGACGACGATGACAATGATTTTTATCTAATAAATTGCATGATTGTTCTTTCGAAACCTTGCATCCAAATTATAAAGGAAGATTGTTTAAAAATTTAGTTTTTTGACGTCATAACTCAAGACAATTCAATAGAAAGATAGGAATTTTCCTGTTTATATATCCACATATTAGCCTTATGTTTATTACTTAAGTAATATTTTGGTTTAGTCAAGTTAACACCAATTAAACCTAATGAGGAATTAAGTAGATTTGTATTATTATTAGTTTTGAAGCGTTAACGAGTGGTCGCATTTTTGTAATTAATTTAATCAATAGTGGATTAAGTAAAAATATATTACTTAATAATAATAATAATAGGCTATATATCCCCATTTTCTGGCCAAATATAGTACACGAAAATTAAGTTTTGTTCACTAGAAATGTCTGTTTCAGCAAAAAACTTTTGTTCGGAAAGACTGATATCGTGTGATCTTCCTTACTGTTAATGGTGCATTAACATTTCTGGGATAATTTCCGGCATACTGGACAAGCTTGCCTCAGTCGTCAAAAAGTTGCTTTATACGTAAAACGTGTATTTTTGCTGTCAACTTCCCGTTTGACTAGAAACATTTTTCATGGACTGTTTTAAGAAATTGAAATGCATCGTTGGGTTTTGATTTTATGCTGAACCTCGGATTGGAACGATGTAATTTATTTATTTATTTTTTAATTTTTTAATTAATCTAAACGTTCATCGGATGTTAATTATTTTTAAAAAAATTAACATTTTACATTTTAAAGTGAACAGGTTTATTATTTTCTGTATGTGTAATACACTCTGTCTTACATTTCGTAAGGAATTTTAATTTATTACACATCATAAAACTCTTGTTCATAAAATTATAAACAACTATTTATAAGTTATACAGGTTATTTTAAGGTTTAATAAAATCGAATATTAAGGTATTTCAGGCTTTACACGGTTCATCTACTTTACAAAGTATGTTTTACGGCTCATTTGTAGTCCGTGAATCAGCGATTGAGAATACTCTTGGTCCTTTTGTGATATGTAATCACTTCATCATTGTTGCATCTATCCTATTTCAAAATACAGATGCATATTATTAAGACTTTAAACAAAGTTTTCATAATATAAAACATACAACTTAATAGACAGACGTGATGTAATTTACTGTATAAACTAATGACTTTGACATTATATTAATGTATATTGCAGGTCGTGTATTCCCCACCTTTTTATATATCGACCACCTTCAATAATATATATAAATATGTATGCAACAGACTCCTATATGATTTTTAAAAGTGTCTTTTTACATTCGGGAGCAAAAAATGTGTAAAATTTTTAATATTTTCAATGCTTTATAGACTCCCTCAAACTTTCCTCGACCTCTAAGGGGCCAGTTGGGAAGCCCTGGTTACAGGTCAATTGGGTAAATTTTATTATTAAAATTTAATGAAAAGTTTACTCTTAACGAAAATCTTTACGTATTTTTTTTTAATGTATGTGTACGTTGCCTGCATTCCTGAAGCAACCAGATCTGATTGTTTCTGTCGAAAGTTGCTTTGCTCTAATTGCATTTCGTAATTATAATTGATTTTGAAAATGTTTCTAAAGGCACTTGGTTATCGGATATATTTATAAAAGTGCCTTTTTAGTTTTTATTTTTTTCTTGTTCGAAGATCGTCGAGAAGACGAAAATATTTTATACAGTTTATTTATTGAAACGAATGATCCTCGTAAAAATGATGACCAGCCACGCCCTAAGAGAATTGCCTTTCTTGCATTCTTTAATGTAACTCGTACGTTTCCGACGATGAAAAAACTGCGTGTTTATACGAAAATTCATATATTATTATTTTAAGTTTCTCGTAATAAGTCCCGTTTGTCTTATCTGTTTAGTTCGAAGTGGGGGGAAAAATGACACCTTCGAAGGGAGGAAAATGGCAGTTCAGACTTCGAGTAGATAAAATAATTTTTTAAAAAATTTTATGAATATATTAATGATTTCTTTCCATCTTTTTCTTAACTAGGCTTTGACCTATTTAATAGCGAGGTCTAATCACGTTTCTTTTCAGCTTTATTATTAAAATATTTTAATTTTCTGAATAAATATTCAAATTTGCCGAAATATTAATTTTTAGTTTTGCGTAATTTTGTTTTGACTGATATAATGTTTTGCGAATTGTGGAATTTTGGATATATTTCTTTCTTTTTTTATAATAAAATTTTCAGTTGAAAGACTAAATATTTTCAAAACAGTTTGTTTGAAAGTTTAGATTTGGTTCCGTTGTGGGATTTCTTATTTAGGTTAATTTTATGGTTGGAAATTTATAAAAATTAATGTAAATTAGCAATTTCGTGATTAAATTGTATTCACTGAAAATTTAATTTTGATTTTTTTAAAACATTTATCGAAGTTTTTACGACTTTTTTTTAAATTCTAGTTTCTCGCACATTTAAACTGGGTTAATTTTTTTCTAATTTTTTTGTATGCGGTTTCTTAACGAATAATTAAAAGAATACAATTTCAATTAATTTGATTATTAAATTATAATTAATTAAACCGAAGTTAGTACTTTCGCAATTTTTTTATGCAAGTTTAATCGCGTCATTAATGTCAAAATGTCAAAAGAGAGAGAGAGAGATGTAAAGTAAATGACCATAAAACAATATATCGTGTCATAAGTCATCCAATGTAACATGATGGCTTACATGATACGATCAATAGTTTATCTTGTCACATTTTTTTTGATTGATCAGATCAGTTTTTTTGAGGAAATCCGACCAAGTCCTATTTGTCGATGCTCGCCGAACTGTGCAGGACCTATTTTTCAGTTATTTTTTCTTAATTTTGATTTTTTTTACCTTAACACGATATAAATAATGTTACATAGTTAAAAACGTCCCAGCAAAATATGGTAGAGACCTAGTTTCTAGTAATAGTTATTTATAAAATTAACTTAAGGTGAAGATCATCGATAGCAATCATATTTCGATTAAGTAATGATAGGATAAAGTTTTTCCTTCTTTTCCGATGAAGCTAGTATATTCTTCCCTCCCCTTTGCTGAATAGACTAGACCACCTGTACCTTTCCACACGCACGTCTACCTTGTTATAGAGAGCGATAGCTGCGACTATTCGATACGATGGTCTGAAGCTCTGTAGGTTATCGATGGTGCAGGTTGTGTCTGTTACTTGATCCAGGATCAGTAATAAGTGGTGTGTGATGCATCGAAACTATGGTCGGCCAACGTGGTGTTACTTAGGAATTTTACGGGTTGCATATTATGCATAGAGGCACCAACGATCTATATCAGCTTGAGGAACTAGTGTCAATTCGCCTTACCGAGCAGAAAAAAAATGAAGGTACATCATACTCGATCGTAATTTAAATACATAAAATACCGTACAAAACGCGCGATGTTTATCGAAGTCGAGGTATGATTCATTTCAAATAGCGAATAACTGCTTAATTTTTCATATTTATGTCATTTTAAGTATTGTGCTATTTACACAGGCGCGTGTTTCCTCTTTTAAGATTCGAGTTGAATGAATTGTAGTACAGAAAAGGAAGCTTGTTTTCAATATAATGCCCTTGACTTATATCTGTAATTAGTGTTATCTGAATGAAAACGTTAGTAGAAATGGAAACAATTTAAATAAATGTTGTTTTTTTCTTTTTTGGTGTAAATGATTTTGCAGTTTCTTAAACTGTTGCTATTAAGTATTAAATTTTATATTGGATGATTTATCATATTTTTTAAATAAAATACTAAAAAATATAATATATATATATAATTTGTATATTTAGTTTGAAATGTATTATGATATAAAAAATATTTAATTTATGCTATATTTTGGCAAATTTGTCAAAATAAAGCATTGATATAAGTATAGGAAACAATATATAAAATGCCAAATAAATAAATTTTAATCAGATATTATCTTAATGAACTGTGATTTCTTTTTTTTTCTAATTTATCTGTTACTTCATTCTATTCTGATATAATTTTTTAACAGTAAAATAATCATAGATTGTTATGAAATACTGTGTTTATTTTGACACTACAAAACAATGCCAATCTGTTAAAAATACTGTGAATTTCTATAATTTAATTTTTTAGTATTTAGTTTCTTATTTTATATCTGTCATTTATTTGTTTTTTAGTCTTATGTTCGGATCGTCTTAGCCAGATGACAAAGACATACAATGACATAGATGCTGTGACCAGGCTACTCGAGGAGGTATGCATAACTGATAAAAATAAGATTATTTTAATTTATAAGTGAAAGTAATTTAAATGTTTGTGATAGAATATAATAAAAATAGAATTTTATTTGGTTGCCATGTATTAGAGGAATGGATATTTTCCTATATTGAAATATACTAAATATTTTTAATACAATTCATGTGTGTTATTGTCCTGTTAAGTGAATTTTGATGAATAAGACAAAGTAATGAAGTTCACAAAACATTTTTTAATACATATGTCATTTATTTTTATTTCCTTTTTATTTCTTTTTTTTATTTGTATTTTCCGATTACACACATTTTCAAGCAATTTTTATGCAAAAGATTAAAAAAATAATAATAAAGAATTGCAAATGGGCTTTATTATATTTTAATTAGTTATATTATATGAAATCAAAAATTAACTCATTTAATACTTATAATTTTGTTATGTAGTTGGTATATGATATTAATGTAATAATCCATTGAGTACAAATATAATAGAAATTATCATTATTAAATAGCAATATAGGTCACTTCTAAATTTAACTGATATTTAATGATTACAGTATATATTGAATGTGTGTTGTAAATAAAAAAAATGACTAAATTTAATTCCTAAAATTAGAACAAAATATAGAAAAATAAATATAAAAAAAAAACCCAAAATTAAAGATAATTAAAGTTTAAATCAGCAACAAGTGATGGTTTAATCAATATTATTTAAAGAGTTGTACAATATGGTAGCTATTAAATATATATAAGTATTGGATTTAATGTGTAGTTCATATTGATAGATCTATTTTTATTATTGTTAGTTTAATCAATCAATTGTATTATTTAGTATTTGTATTACATAATATTTTATGCTTTATTCAAGAGGAATGAATAAATTTAGCTATTATCAACAAATAATTTGATTGATTGTTGTAAAGTAAAATTGTTAATTTGAAAATTAATAATTTTACTTTGGTGATTTATTTCATTTGATACAATTTATGACTAGATTTATTTGTTTTTCTCACATCAAGTAATACAATATTAAATATCATGTAATAACTAATTTACTATATTTGTAATATTGATTTGTATAAAAGTTTAATTAGTTTAAAAACAAATCCCATTAATATGATGTAATCAAAGAAACAGTATCATTCAAAAGTAAAGTTTGGAACTGTTTTGGAACAATATAAAATCTATCATTCAGCAGTTGCCATTTTTTCATTATCATTTTAATTTAGTAAATTTTTTCTTGTGGCATATGTTAATGATTAATTTAATAGTTTCAGTATGTATGTTTGGTTATGATGATATAGTTGACGTTTATTTCAAATCATAAAAACTGTACAGAAGTTTTATATAATGTGTACATGATTTTGAACAAGAATTTAAAAATTAGCGATTATTCTTATTATAATTTTTCTTGAATGTTGGGAATATTTCTATAAAAGTGTTGCAATATGACATTTTGCTGATAATTAAATATGAGGAGAATTTGTTATGGAAAATTTAAATATTACATCAAAATAAGGATTTTTATTGAGTCATTTTAAGTATTGTTAGAATAATCCTTCTATGAACATTCTCACAATAGTATTGGTTATCACTAAGATGATTTAACTAGAATAACAGTCGTCATATTTTTTACTATACCATTTTAACTCTTAACAAAAATACCTTTAAGGATATATAAAAAAATGTCAACTTAAAAACCTAAAAGTTGAACTGAAAACCAGTATACAGCAATACCCCGACTTACGCGAATTCGACTTACGCGGTTACCGCTCGGTCCCACCTATCGCGTAAGTTCGGGGTATTACTGTACTCAGATTCAACTGTTCTCATCTCCATTTAGCTGCCAAATACTAACAAAACCTCCTTTGATTACCTCCTCTTGTATCTTTTAACATCCTCAAAATGATCCTGTCATATTCATGAATCCTTTTGGACTACCAGTCTTGCCCTGTCAGTTTAATTCTTATATGAAATTAGAATGGGTTTAATATATATCACATTTTCATGAAAATTATCTTGGAAAAAATATTTTTTAGGAACTCTAAATTGAATACATGATCAAAAAGAATCGTGTGTCAATTAGTAGCAATGCTTTCATTGTTAAAAATAACCAAAAATTTGTTTTTGGTTATTTTACACCAATCCAAAAACCAAAAAAATAGTAAATAGAAATTTGTTATTTCTAATTACTATGATTTTTGGATTTTTTTTATCACATTATTCAGTATGAAGTTTTAAGTCCAGCTAAATATTTCCATCATTTACATAGAAGAATAAGTTTGTCCTTTATATCAAAGAAATCAATCCTTTGATTGATAAAAAAAATTATAATGTGTTTAATTTTAAAAAATTGTTTTTCTCAATATTTTAGATTTATAAAATTTTTGAATATAACTAATATATTCAAATGACAATATCAGAGTTAAAAATTAAGAATATTGCAGGCAACCAGCTCTAGACTTTTGGTTTTCTGTAACAAAAGTAGTTGTCCAAACTGCATGGTGTATTATTACTTTCTGGTTGTTATATATGACAGGGAAAGTATGGCAGTCAGTCAAAAAATTATCCCTAGATTTTTATATTTTTGTACTTGTGACCTTGAAACATTGAGAAATGCAAAAAACATTTGGGGGTAATTTTTGTGTATGGATGTTAGTGTGTGGAGGCATGATTTTGTTCACCCTCTTTGAATCGTAATAACTCCTGTGCCTTGTCAAAAATTTCTGAAATTTTGCAGGGAGGTTTGTGTATTAGGAGAATGATGCTATTAAATTTTGTTGGTTAAAGGTTGAGGGGATGGGGAGATAAAGGGGAATCATATGTATCTTTGGTAACATCAGACTTAATGACGATTTTACTTGTTATGAGCATTTAAACTTTTTTCTATAAAACCTGTTATAAAATGGCAAAAATTAAGCATTTTTGCCTTTTATAATAGTTAAAATATAAAAAATTTTTAATAATAAAATATCATAACAGGTGGTGTCTCACACACAGTTTCAAATGTTGCAGAGAAAGTTAAGCAACCCATTGCTGGATTATTTTATAAAGAACCAGAAAATATGAAAAAACATTACCTCCTTACATAAAAAATAAAGTTGCTTTATTGCTTGCACACTACAAACATCAGTTCATTAGTTCTACACACAAAAAGAAATCTTGAACATTTTTGGCAACCTACAAGGCATTTGTTTACAATAGGTGCCAACTTAGAAACATTAAGTAGGCCTATGAACTCTTATTGGGTGTGTAGAAAATTTGTCAAAAAACTTTAATGAAGTAAAATATTCAAAAAAACAAAAAAAGAATTTGTGATTTAAAAAAAAAAATTAAACAAAGCTGTAATTGGATACTGTATTAAAAATCATATTAAGGATTCTTCTTAATAGTACACAAACCTAGTAACTAACAAACCTACACAAACTGAATTGGATACTGAATAAAAATTAATTATTCAATATTACATTTAAAATGAAAATATAAACACCTGATTAATGAATTAAAGGATCCATTAATTAGGTGTTAGTACCCATTAATCATTAAAGCAAAACTGTTATTTAAGAAGTCATGATTTTTCTGTATTTACAGTAAAACTTATGAAATTGACAAGTTTTCATTCTACTTTTGTAAAATAGGAAATTTTTCTGATATATTTTATTTTGTTTTAAATTTATAATTTAAGTACAACAAAGTAAAATTAATGATTATGAGACAACATAATAATAATTATTAAGTCTTTAAAACAATAGTGTTCAAACAAATGACTATTAGTCCATTACTATTACTTATGTCATCAATATTTTTCCTCTTATTGCCAATGCTTGCTTTTTTATTTTGCCATCTCACATGCTTCTCTTGTATCCTGTGGTGCCCATATTAGATTTGTTGTCATAAGAGTTGATGTCTCAAATGGACTTTCCTGTGTTTTGTTTCTTACTACAGTAGAGCGTCGATTTTCCGAAAGTCAATCACCCGAAACAATTATCCGAAAGAATTCCAGTCGGCAAATTTAAATTTTCGCCAGTGCTGTGGCGCTTCAATCTTTGGCTATGTCTTGGGCTACTCAAATATTTTACGTTTTTGATACTAAATTAACATCTGAAGTATAATTTTTTATTATTTTTATATTTTTCAATATATTTATTTTGTTTGTACAAAATAAAAAAATAATTTTTAATGATACAATAGTCTTTATTAGGCTTAACATCGACGAAAATTCAACGCGAAGCGACACGCAACGGAAAAACTTTCGAAATCGGATACGTTAAACTGTTTTTTCGTACATAAATTAGTTATCCGAAATATCAGTTATCCAGACAACCCCAGTCCCCAATTGATTCGGAAAATCGACGTTCTACGGTATTATTATTCTTACTACAGTATTATTATTATTTAGCAGGATAAAATATGCACAAAGTACAAAAAGATTAAAGAAAAAAAAATGAGAAAGAAACGAAGTTGCCTGTTGGACAACTTGAAAGTAGATTTGGTAGTCCAAGTAAAATTTTGGGTACCTGGGACAATCATTAATTTTGAATCCTGCATGATGGTAAAAAATGAAGTCAATGTAACAATTATGATACTATGATTTCTGAACTTTAAATTTAATCTAATTAAATGAATTTATTTTTTTCCAGTTTTGAAATTGTTTATTATTATTTACTTCAAAAAATCTCAATAAAAATTGCTACATAATAGTTATCATAAAAAACTGTAGTATTATTTTTAGTGGATACTTGCTATGCAAATCATTTAAACTCTACTATGTTGTTGTTTTGGCAGACTGAATAAAATAATGACAAAATTAAAGAATTTAGTTTTTAGTTGCTGTTAATTGCTGTTTGTTTTTATAGTAATGTAGGAAATTAAGTATTTTCAGACTTGACTAAGAAAAACTTTTGGAATAAGCTTTTAATGAAAATGTTTTTATTTTCTCATTAAGGCAGATGATGATGATTTCATTTTTTAGTTACAAAATAACACTTTGATTAGGCAAATTTACAGTTTAGAAATTGTAACATCACAAGTATTACAATTATTAAACTTTAAACTAAGTTTTACCATAACTACAGGTTCAAATAATTGCAAACTTTTTTTGAAGATTATTTAATGAAAACTTTGTTGAATTTAATGAAAATTGAAAACTTTGAAGAGAGTACAAACAGAAAAAAAAATTGTTTGTACTCTTGTAATATTATCTTTGCTAAAAGAAAGTTTAAATACTACATAAATATTTGAGGAAAGAGGAGTGAAAAATTTGAAGATTTCTTATAGCCAAATCATTGCTTACATTTTGTTTTTTTGCATATTCAAACGTATAAAAATGATGTATAAAAGCTTTTAAAAATGTATATGCATTAATTTATACTTGATAATCCATTTTATAATTTATAATAGTCTATTTGTGTGTTACATTATCATCAAAATTATAAATATTGATATTATTACTACTCCAAATTTCTGTCATAATATAAAATTTGTTGCATTTTATTTCTTTATTGTAATAAAAAAGAAACATTAATAATCTTACATAAAATTAGAAGGATCAATATGTACAGTACTGCTTATGTAGTAAGAACAGTCAATATGCTTATATAATATTTGAATGATTCCCTAATGAGAAGTTATTAAACCAAAATCTGGTATAAGTAATAGTGACAGGATGGTTGTCATAAATTACATCTTACAAGCCAAGCTTCTGAGTAACAAATGGATAGTCAAAATTAGTTTTGTACCAATTAAAAGAACATTTATTGATTAATCAGAATCAGCAAAACAATCAATGATTTTCTATAAAGTTATTGATTTGATCCATATTTGCCTGAAGTTATATTGATTAACATTAATTACATTAAGGTTAGAAAATTTATTCAAATACTTGAAATTTGTCACAAGTTTATCAATGGTGCTAAGTGTTGACATATGATTCTTATCTGATCAGGGAGCAGGAGCCTTATTCTGGTCACTTATCTCTCGTCTCTTCTTTCAGAGATGAATGATATCAAAACTAGACAAAATTCATCTCTGAGACACAGGCAATTCTGATGGTCTGAATTGTGTAATGGCAAGTTTTTTCTTTTCAAATTTAAACTTTCTGTTTGCTGTAGTGTTATGATTCTTACAAAAAAATCAACTCTCTTAGTACTGAATTTGATTTAGGAATAATGTTCTATTGAGTGGTGCAAAAAAGTTTCAGTTTTTGATTTGTTACTCCAAAACTTAGCTCATTAGACATATTTAATGGGTTTTTTTTTTTTTAGCTTATAAATACAGTAGTGTCTTTTATCTGAATCAATTGGGGACTGGGGTTGTTCGGATAACTTATTTTTCGGATAACCGATTATGTACGAAAAAATATATTAACCTATCCCATCCTGAAATTTTTCTCCGTTGTGTGTCACTTTGCATTGAATTTTCGTCGATGTTAAGCCTAACCTAAACTTTTTTAAATAGTAATCGTTGCTATTGTATTGTTAAAAATTATTTCTTTATTTTGTACAAACAAAATAAATATATTGAAAAATATAAAATCAATAAAAAATTATACTTCAGAAGTTAATTTAATATTAAAAACATAAAATATTTGAGTAGCCCAAGACAGCCAAAGATTGCAGCGCCACAGCACTGGCAAAAATTTAAAATTGCCAACTAGAATTCTTTCAGATAACCAACTTTCGGATAAACAACGCTCTACTGTAGTTATAAATTCTTCCTTTGAAATCTATATTATTGAAATTTTATTATTATTTATTATAAGTTACTGATGAGGAGGCATTAGAATCTATTGAAACTTTATTAGTGAGACCATAATGATAAAGGTAATAATCAAAGGTAATGTCACAACAAAAGGACAATTTCCTGTGGAACAATGACATAATTTAAAAGGAACTTTTAGGACCATGTCATGCACAGATATAGTTAGTCATGGAAGCGTACAGACATCATATGCTATTGTGCAACGGATTTGACCATAGACGTTGCAATTGTCACTCCAGATTACTCACACTTCTAGATGGATAGCCAAAATTGACATTTAATCTGGTACCACAAATGCTTAATGAGCAATAATTTTGAGACAGGGTAGGCCAAGGAAGTATGGCAAAGTAACAGATATTTTTGTGAATCCTAGTTGTGTTCAGCTGATCATAATAAGTTAGCATAAGTAGGAAAAAATTGTCAAAATATATAAATCAAAAACATGTGGAAATAATAATTCATTTAAAAGCAAAAAATATTTTATGAATTTAAAAAATGTATCAAATAAACTTTTATGTTAAAGATTTTGTATATAATTAAAAATTAATTCTTAAACTCTAAGTTCTTATATAATTTTTTTTTTAAATGTCTCTCTAAGCTGCAAGAAATGTAAATAATTTTAAAAATCATTTTTTCTAGTTTGAAAAATGATTAATGATCTGAACTTCTGTATTATTTAAAGAAAAATCAGATATCTATATTCATTCACATTCAATAAATGAATTTCTCATTAAAGTATCATTAGAAATAAAAAATTAATGCCTATGTGATAGATTTTTAGATTCAAAACATTTTTCTTGTTGGAATTTAATTTTTGGAATTTTTATATTAAGATAAAATTAAATAATAATTAGTTTTCTAAATATATGTATATTCTGATATTTTTTATTGTCAAAAAATGAATAATTTAAAATAAAATTTGTTACATTCTTTCCATGTTTCAATTTAAAAATATATATATTTTTTATACTAATTCAAAAACATGCTCTGATTTAAAGGAAATACAGCAATTCATATAAGGAAATATATTCAGTGTGTAATTTTTTTGAGATGTTTTTGCAATATATTAATTTTAGAAACCACTGAATAGGGAATTTACTAGCAATCTTTTATTTTAAATAGTGTACATCTTTTAAGATGTGCACTATTTAAAATAAATAAATATAATATATTATAAATAAGATAAATAAATATATTAGCAAAAACATTGGATTGTTTTTAATTTTTTGTGTAAATTCAAAATTATTTAATATTCTAATGATAAAGAAAATTGGTATTTAAAGTGAAAATATACTATTTCAAAAACTTTATGCATATAACTTTTATTGGCCTGTATTCCAAAGGAAATTGCTCGAACAAAAATCAAACCTTCAAATAACCCACTCCTTTGTACACATCATGTCCATGAGAGTAGCAATTGCTTCAAAAATACAAGTTCATGATTGCATTTTAAAATCATTGTATATCACCTCATTGTATAACTTGTACTCCTTTTTAAACATAGAAAACCCACAGATTATATGCATGAAAATACAATATCTATTGTTTCTTTAATTACAGTACATCAATTATATTAGTATGGTTAAAGAAACTTGTTTAGAAGATTAAAGTAATCTTTCTTTAGGGTTTTTAAGCATTTTACACAATGTCTGAAAGAAAGTCATCTTTATTGTATTGCATTATTCTATCTAACTTGCTTCATAAGTAAATATTATTGTGGCGTAGTAAACACTAGTATTGTGTTTTATTCCAAAGACACATGGCAAGTTTTTCATCAAATCCCTTTATTAGTTGAGTCGACTCAACTAATAAAGGGATTTGATGGAAAACTTGCCATGTATCTTTGGAATAAAACACAATACTAGTGTTTACTTCTCCACAATTATAAAACAGGACACGGTTTCAAAAAACAAAGTAAATATTACTTTAAAAACCCTAAAACCTTAATAATAAGTACAAATAAATTAACAAAATTATAAATTATTAATGAACTTTATACAGATTGAGTTACTATTTTGTCCTGAAGAGATATTTGAGATGAAAAGAAATGGAGATGTACCAGAATGACTATTTAAAAATAATAATTTAATAATTCAGATTATAATTGATAATGTATTTATGTAATTTGCAAGAATTTTAGGGTTCAGTTCTATTTTTATATTTTGCTGTTTTTAGAACTATTAAATTATAATTAAAATATTTAAGATGGTGAATCTCTAGCTCAAATTTTGTAATAGATTAAAATTAATGTAAAAGTAATACTGAGAATAATCTGGTAATATTTGATTTTTTAATTATTTCAAAAATATATCAAGTCAGTGTGTGTTGTCTTTTTAAATAAACATAATTTTTAAAAAAATTTTTGCATTATTTCAACAGCTTTATTGTAACTCAACTATGCTTTTTCATACTTTATGAAAAAATATATATATAACTACTAATGTTATACTCATAAATATATTTATGATTTAAGTTTTTGTATATACAAATAATTAATTTATAGTAAAATAAATGAAAGTTTGAATGTTAATTAAAGCCAAATGATTGCTGGATTATATTGGGCTATATAACAACTACTGTTAATAATTTAGCATTTAATTATTAATAGTAGTATTAATATAGCCTGATATAATCTGACAATTGTTTGGCTTTAATGTATAGCTATTGGGTTTTGGATGGTTGATATCTGCAGTGTTAAGTGGAAACAAGGTATAATGAAATCAATTTTGTCATAGGCTAAATAATATAAACAAGATATAATTCTTATTGGGTCATGTTTTCTCTTGCTTTAATTTTCCATCTCATAAAATCAGTTTTACTGTTTATAAACAAAATTCAGCAACCATAATTTTAAATGATTGCATACATACTTATATTTTTCCTTCATGATGTTATGAAATACATAAACTTGCTGTATACTATGTACGAATTGGTTTCTTCTCATTTATAATGACCATAATAAACTAATAGCTAGGCTAGGCCTGTGGGGTTGTATTATTATAGTACATAGCTAGCTATTAATTAATAATAATTTAAAATATATTAATATATTTTTAATTTTATATACAAAGTATGCTAGGAAAAAAGATATTTCTATGGTGTGCCACAAACCAAAAAAGTCTGAGAACTACTGCATTAGATGTTGCAAAAAAGTGGTGTGGTTATTTTATGTCTTATTTTTACTTGTATTCAACTAATTAATTTTATTTTTGATTTGTAAAACAAACTTTATTATTATAACAGAAAGAAAGAGATCTTGAACTTGCTGCCCGAATTGGACAATCTTTACTCGAACAAAACAAAGATCTACGCTTAAGAAATGAACAACTAGAGCAGGATCTTACTATTGCCACTGAAACTGTAAATCACTTTATTATTATTATTATTAATATTTTGTTTATTTAATTGATATAATACCCTGTTTGACAATTGCTAGGAAATAGCAACATTTTTTGGCATAATTAGTAGTAGACACTTGTCAAGGAAGAACTACATACCATATGTAAGTAGAGGTGCTATATTTTTATTGGCATGAAATGGCATGCATTTTTCACTCTGGAAATGAACAGGACAACAAAAACAAGAAGAAAATATTGAAAACCTCACGCTGCTGTCTTCAAACTTCTATCATGTATCATTCCAATAGATGTAAATTTTATGCACTGAGAACAACTGCTGATGAACATCTTTTGTTCGAAGTGTAGAAATTGCACAACATTGTCTACTGTGGTTAATTTAAGCAGTTGTCTCAACGGGATGCCATTTTATGGAAAAAATTTTACTGTTTCCTAGCAGTTGTCAAATTGTGTGTGTGTGTGTAAATTAGATGAAAAATTCTAGTAATTAAAATTCTGGTTTCAGAGAGGAATTTAGTAAGAAGAATTTAGTAATCGTTTTAAAATTTTTCTGTGTTATAAAATATAGAAAAGCAATTTTACAACAAAACCAATGATTTAATTAGAATTTAGATGATTGAATATTTATCCTTTTCCTGAAAGTATATTCTTGATGATTCTTATTCATTTTAAATATACAGTACTCAAATGGCTATTTTGTTTATAATTAAAATATAGCCTTTTAATTAATATTTTGCAATGTTAATTTTCATTATGTTTTTTTTGGCAGTTCTAGTTTGTTCTCATTCATTTATTTGGTCTTTTATACAAGATAAAAGACCAAATAAATGATAAAATTGATCTGTCCCTACAGATCAATTTTATTAATAAGCAATATTTTGGAAATTTGTATTTTTAAGGGCAATTTATATTATTTAATCTTTTTTCCTAGATGATATTTAACTTGTATAGTTTTGAGTTTTTATTCCTGTTTCATTTCAGTGCTTTGTAAACGTCCTTGTTGATTTAAATGCCACTCTTTACACATTCATTATTTTAAATGTTAAATATATTATTATAACAATTTCCAATAAATGTATAAGAAACTTCTAATATGGATTTATAGTTAGAAATTTCTTGTTCTCTAGTGTTACTTCTGCAAAATGATAAATGCTGATTTGTTTTACTCTTCATAAAGTTAGAGGTTTTAATTTCAGAAAAATTATTGTGAACTTCACATTTGACATTTCTTATTTACATGATGAAGATATAATGTAAAAATTTTATTTTCTATTCTAAAGATTTTAACTGTTATGGATTTGCAAACTTTGAACTATTTATAGTTGAACTCTATTGTTCTCAGCCATGTTTTAAATGCATTATAGTCAATAAGCTCATTAAATACATTATACTAAATTACTGTTTGGAAAAAAATAAAAAAGGAGACTGTGATATCAGTTACAACTAAAAATAATTAAGCACAAAATTGTTGTATAGAACTTATCACACAGGAACATTTTCTGATGAATAATGTAGAATTTATTTTGTACAACAGACATCATCTTAATTTCTTATAGTACAATTTGATAACTACAGAATAAATTACAGTAAAATTAACAACTATTCATATCTCACATATGTGAAAACTCACAAAAAATAAGATTGCTTGGTATGATATTTAATAATGACTGCTACTAATTAAGTATTTTAAAACAAAGGGGATAGTAAGTAAAACTAAAATAAACTAAAAAATATGTAAATAAAAATATTGATAAAATGATTATAAAAATATTAAAATGTGATAAAAGGGATATACCTGTAAAACACAGAACTTAAAACTTGCTTTAAAAAACGAAAAAACACAAATGCCACATGAAAATATACTGTCCTACTATACAGTATTTGTCATGAATATCACACCTTAAAAATGGATCAATAAAAACCACTAAGCTAAAAGGTGTAAAATGTTTCATTGTACATTTATTGAGTAGACTAATTGTCATACAAAATGTGGGGTGAAGGGAGGAAAAACATCTTAAAATGGACTCTGGTAACCAATACTTCAAATTATACAATAAGGACTTAAGAGGGGCAAATAGCTCAAAATGTATTTTCATTGTACAAAATAGTCTATATTATTTACCAGAAAGCATTCCTATGTGATAAGTTCTACATAGCAATTTTGTGCTTACTCTGAAAGAACAAAAGAGAGAACAAGAAGCAACCAAGTGCTAAAACTAATTATATTTTCTAAATTTGGTACAGTACATTTTTAATCTTATCATAAATGTTGTTTTTTGTTCATTAGCCTTTGATTTCATGTAATTTTTATTTAAAATTTATATATGCTAGTAATTTATACAATACATTTAAAGAAAATTATCTTTGTTGTAAATGCCAAATGACTAATATGTTAGAAATGACTTCTTAGAGTGATTTATGATTAGACAAACTTTGTTAGGAAGCAGTATTTAAGTATGATCAATATTTTAAGATTTATTTTAGTTTATTTATTATAGAAATATTTAGAAAATTTATATTAGTGATAATTTCTGATTTAAATTCAATTACTAATTAATGCATATACTATCAATTTTGTTTGATAATTTTATCATCAGTTTCTAATTGCAAAGATAACTTAAATTCTAAATAAAATATCCAAGTATATAAATAGTAATAACTGTGCATCAATTAATTGACTGAAGCTGGCTGAAGTGCTAATACTTTTACTAATTTGATAGTTAGTTAATTTTGGTATTATATGATATAAGAATTATATGAATGTACTTTTAGCTTGGCTTTCAATATCCTGTTTTTCTTTTTTTAATGCTTAAATTCAATTTGCATATAATTTGCTTTGCCTGAAAATTGAATTAAAATATTTCCTATTTTAAAATATAAGTAAGTTTGAATGTATTTTTTTAAAATTAATTTTGCGATTACTTTCTGTATTGGTTGGATTATGTATCTAGTGTAAAATATATAATTATATTTATTTTTAATACAGAAATAATAATAATGAAAATATAAATTATTTGTAGATGTCTTTTTTTACAAAAAGACATCTACAAAAGTTAAATTTCTTTTTTATGGAGATAAGAATAAACTTAATTACCAAGATAAACTATATTATTGCTTGGTTTTACTGCAAATTTCTAGAAAATCTGTATCAAAACTGTGTTGTTTTTATTTTATGAAATTGTTTTTACATTACAGACAGTTAAAATGATTAAAACATTTTTCTGTTTTTATTATTTTAAAGTATATAAATTAATAAAATAATATTTAGAGAAATATAGCATTTCATTAATAAAAATGATTCAAAATACTTTTCATTAATGGAAATTGTTTTAAATACTGATTAAATATCTATAGGAATAAATTAACTGATCAAAAATTGATTTAAAGTTTTTTTTTAATTTTAAGAAATGAAAATCACCAATAAAAATACTTTTTTGTAATGCATTTTTAATTTTTATACATTATGTAAATATTATAATTCATATGGCAGTTTTTTTACTGTAGTGATAAAATGATTTATTTTAAAACATTAATAAAAATGAAATTAGAATTAAATAATATATAATAATCATTAAAAGTAAATGGCATTTTTAGGCAAATCTAATAGTAAGAGTTTGTAATAATTTATTATTATTATTATTATTATTATTAATTGATGATAATGTTGCAAATATGTATAACATACATCAGATATTTATTAATTTATAGTTTAAGATGAAAAAATTTGTAAAGTGAAAGTTAAAGTGATGGTGATGAACATACATATATATTTTTAACATAACAAATAAACATTTCATGTAAAACAAGTTCTGGCTTAGCTAAAGTATACAGGAAATTTATATAGAAAAGCATCTCATGAAATATTTAAATTGTTCAATATATTTAATTACATTATCCTCGCTTTATTTTCTGTAATTTTTAGGAATTTAATATTCAAAAATATCATAAATTTACATTTTGATATTTATATTAACAAATTTCATAACATTTTTGTGAGATTGCAAATAGTTAAGACTTTGAAATAATTTATTTTGTATAATTTGTATATCATTTTAAATACAAATAAATTTAATTTTATTACCTACCATGAATAATAAGACATGTTATGAAATAGTACTAATTCTAGCAAAACAAATTTGCTTCAGATTTAAAAATAAAATAAAATGTGAATTATTATATATGAAATTTATATTTTTTGATCGAGTATTTGTGGTGAAACCTTTAATTATAATTAATCAGCTTGAAAGTATTTGTGTAATTTGTTTTGTTGTTGGTTGGGTACAGTAATCTCATGCTACATAGCATTACTTAACACCTATAAATAAATAATTTAAATCCCACTTCAGTATTTTGTGATTATATACATATGCTACTTATTCCTATCTCCATGAATTTTTTGGTTTTTTACTTCTAGATTTATAATGATTAAAAAATTAATGGAAATATGCTAATGATGATCATCATAATCTAATATTTAAATCTTTTTAATCATATTTTAGTTTATTGTATAATGTGTTTGTGCGCTATTATTTTAATTTTTCAGTTATGATTATTTTTAGTTTATATTAACAGAGTATTATGAATTTTCAAATGCATGTTATTTAGAATTATTAGTTTATTGCATGCTTATATTGTGTTTTTTTGCATGATTTTGTTTTGCTTTCTTTTATAATATCAATGCATTCTTATTTTTTTACTTTCTATGTGAATGTGTTGCGTTATTTAATAGGAAGAAAAACTAACTCGTGAAATTATAAGTGCTACTGAAGGGGTAGGCATGCATTTTTGTTTGAATAAACTTTTGAAATTGTCATTTTGAATTGCCTGCATGATCAATTTTTGTATTAAAAAATGTTTTTTTTTTTATTAATTTGGTCCAGGTAACACAATTGAAGCATGAACTATCATTAAAAAATGGCTTACTTCAAATTTACACACAAGATTTGGATACAGAATCTGATTCTGGATCTCCATCGTAAGCAATTTTCATATTTTGAAAAATATCTGTTTAATATTCTAAATATTTAAAATGGATATATTAAATGAAATAGAACATACTAGAAGACAGAAAGTAAAATTTAATACTTCTTAATTTTTAAAAAATCTAAAATAGAGACAGAAGTATTGCTGTTAATTGGGAAATGCTTAATAAGAAGATACAGAATCTTCAAGAAGAGAATATGCAACTTAGAAATGAGGTATGAATACAAGCATCATTTTTTCCCTATAAGAAAATTTTGTGAATTATTCTGTATATAATAATAATGTCAATCTTCGGCACACTGATTTTATATATCATATATAAAACAAGGTGTAACTGTTAATTAATAATCATTTTAAAATAAATCTTACATAAACTACAATCTTGCAGATAAATTATTCATTAAATTATTAAGTGTTTTAAGATTACTTCTTTCTTTTTAAATTTTTCAATCAAATCTAGCTATTGTCACAGTAAACAATGAAACAACAACAAAAAATGTTGCTTGAAAATTACAAATTGTTAAATATAAAATTTCATGATGCAGCTATGAAGAAGAAAATTTATTAAACCATAAAAAAATTGTTTTTCAATATTATAAAATATACTTTAAAAAATAAAAATAGGAGTGTAATAGAATAGAATAAACAGGAGTAGGTTAAGCAAGACTGATTATTTATCAATATGCAACAGTTAACATTTGATCTTGCTAAATTATGATTTTGAAATGCATAAGAAATTCTTAATATCAATATATTTAAAACAATCAATGTTGTCATAAGAAATATAACATATACATTTCCCACTTCTTGTTTTACACATTTGTTCAGAAGTAACTTAACCAAGAAAAATTCCAGATTATGTTCAATATGAGATCTTGCTTAGATTCAGATAACATTTTAAAATAATTATTTTATAATAATAAATGTTAAAATGTTACTTGACATAAATAAATTTTCACTCTTTATTTTTAAAGTAAGTTATATAATTATTAGCAGGGCTGTTTTTCTAAAAAAAGTTACTGTTGACATACCAGTATGCATATATAGTGACTGAATATATAGTATCGTTTTTACTGAGCAACTGCTTTACCGGTTACAGATACTTTTTTTCATGCTATCTGCTGGTAAGATGTACCATCATGTTCCTGCTGAAAAATAGACAAAATCAAAACAGAAAATTAAAATTAACATGACCAAAAATTAACTAGAAGTAATGAGTTTAATGCATTTAATTTTATTTTTTAAATGATTTAGGAAAATTAAAATGATGTTTTTTATAATAAGAAAAATAAAGGTACAAAAATGTTTATTAAATTTTATTATTGTTGTAATTTTTAATTTGAATTGTTTATTTTTTTAAAAGTGATGATCTCATTTAATAATTCCCCAAATAGTCTATCAGTTTTTGAATGCTACTTTAATTCTTTAATTTAAAAGTAAATCTTTAAATCTTGCACATTTTTTAATTAATGAATAAATAAAAATGATAATGTAATAATTCACACNCACTGAAACTGTAAATCACTTTATTATTATTATTATTATTTTACATCTTTTTTTTTTTAAGTGATAGTTCACTTATATGGAATTTTTCAGTAATGTGAATATTTACACATTGTATTCATTGAAAGATTTCATCAAGTTTTCCTTTTATAGGCAGTAGATCGAACAATTGACATTGAAAATGAAGAGAAAAAAGAAATGCAATTAATTAATGATTGTGTTCGGCAGCTATGTAAGTTGAGTTATAAAATGTTTGATCTAACTCTAGTTTTACTATAATTTAAATATTGAAATTCAGGAAAAAAGCTGATATAATTCTCAAGATGGATATTTTCTAGTCCCAAACTAAAAGTAATATAATACTTCATCAATAGATTAGATTATAACTGGAGTTCAGTTGCACAGATACATTAATGAAAACAAATTTTTGTCAAGAGAATTCCTAGAAGTTTTCAGAAATTTTTTTTTTACTTTCCCAGCTATTATAACAGGAAAAGTATGGCAATCTGGCAAAAATTGACCCTTACAGATTTTTACAATTTTGAACTTAAAACCTAGAAATGTTGAGAAATGCAAAAAAAAATCTGGGGTTTTTTCTGTATATATTGATGTTAGTGTATGGGGAGGGCATGATTTTGTTCACCCTGTTTGAAGCTTAATAAGTCTTGTGCTTTTTGTTGAAAATTTCTTAAATTTTTGCAGGGAGGTTTGTTTATTAGGAGAATTAACTCTATTAAATTTTGGCGAATAAAGGTTGAGAAGGTGGGTAGATGTGGGTTATGTGTATTTCCAGTGATTGGATTTGATGATTATTTTACTTGTTATTAGCATTTACAAGTTTTTATAAAACCAATCCCTACCTTCAAAATTAAGCTATATTTGCAAAGACTAGTCTTGTGTACACAAACTAGTCTTTGCAAATATAAATAACAATAACAATAAAGCTAAGCAATTTGTTGTTTGTATGCCAGGAAAGCTCCCAGCATACATTTAAAACTGTGTGGAGAGCCATCTGTTATGATATTTTATTCTTAAAACCTTTTTATATTTTTAATTATTATAAAATATGCAGATAGCTTAATTTTGAGGGTAGGGATTGGTTTTATAAAAACTTGTAAATGTTAATAACAAGTAAAATAATTTGTAATGTAATAATAACCTTTTACCTACAAAAGTTATACTAGATGGCAAATATTTTAGCAATCTAAAATACCATTATTAAATTAAGCATTAATATAAAAACAAAGATCAATAACTATATTATATGAAAAGAATATTCAAAATTAAAAATGAAGCAGAGTATGTAATTTGCATAACTTGTAACATTGTATATACATACAATGTTACAAGTTATGCAAATTATGTAAATCATATATTGGTTTTCTACAGTGTGTTAAAGTAATTATCACTATTATTCAATTATGGATAAAATATAATGTGTACGAGCAATTATTTATTGTGACAGTCACAATGCTAGACTGCAATTTTTAATTTATTTAATTTAAAGTAATGCTTTCCACTTCAAATTAGTAGTGTCTTTTCCCTGTACAACATACTTTTCTTTTAACAATAGAGTTGTGCCAGTCATTTATTAACTGCTTTCAAGAGAGAAGTTTTAAATTGAAGTAATATGACTTCCAAGTTTCATTGAAAGTTCATATGTAGTTAATTGGGGCCTCTTGCCCCTAAGGTTTTCATATCTTGTCTCAGATTTTATCTATCTAACTCTGTTCTTGAGATTAAGGAAAGACAGACAGATGACTGAAAATTTATAGGTCTACAATTTTTTCAAATTGCAGCCCAATAAATGAAATTATTCATATACATAAAATATAAAGATCAGTGTTATTTGCATTTATACAGTTATCTATGTGTTTCTATGTATTGATTCTGTGTGGCTTTGTGAATGTCGTATGCTAATAGTTAGAAACATAAAGCTAATTTTTATGCTAAAATGAAAAATTATAAGGTTACAAACAAGCAGAGGATATAGCTGAGTGAGATAATTTAGCCTTAATACAATTTGAGAATAATGATATCTCATACCTTTGATGGTGCTATTATATATTACATCAGAAGTAATGTCTGTAAAAGTAATTATTTTGTGTTTAACAATAAGTTATTAAGCTATTCTGTTATACACTAGAATCTGCTTATTATAATCGTTTTGAGTCTTGTTTGTATTGATGATGACAATGATAATATTAACCAATGTAAATAAATAACACTTCGATTAGTGAAAATTCTGGTTTTAGTGACTTTTTCAATATTAGCATTAAAACAATATGTTGTTGATGTAACAAGGATGTAATTGAAGTGACAAATACCAGCAATTTTAACATTGCACTGCAAACAAATAATAATTAAAACAATGTTTCAATTATTATTTGTTGTTTAAAGCATTGGTTACAACATGATGTGTTATCAGTCACATGTTGATCAATTGTATGAAAGGACAATTGATCCTTAAAGATGCCTGCTTACCTGAATATAATAACTATAACAGAAACTTTATATTATAACATCTGATGTTTTTATGGTGCATTTTATATTTTGATACATGTTAATTCTAATAAGATTAGATGATTGATACTTAGTATAATCATGGACGTTGCCATTTTTATTTTGATTAACATTATTATTGTGAACTGAAGTTATTGTATGTGATTGTAGTTTATTCCTCTAATCAATAATCCTCATTAAAATCCAACAAATACAATCATCTATATCTGAAGCAAGATTCAAACCTTTCATCTAAGAAATAGAAACAGTAGCTCTTGTTGCCTATTAGTTTGTCTTGATTTTTTTTTTTCCAATTCATTGAAGTGTTTTGTTAAATTAAATTAATTCTTCACTGTATCCAGAAATATTTTTTTATTCTAGCTCTGCTTTAGTTAACTGTCTGGAACCCTTAAATTTTATGATGAATTTATATTCTAATTATTTTTATTTATGACTGTATATAAAATACTTTATGCTAATCATTGCATTGACATCTGTTATAGATATTTTATCAATAATACTAAAAACTGAATATAATTAAAATTTTATCAAAGACCCATCATCGACTATTTATATATATATAATCACAGGGGCACTTGCTGGAGACATGTTTTATGTAATGGAACAATTGATAAGCACATTTGAATAGTCAAATAAAAGTAATAGAAATGCATATTACATGCATCATAAAGCATATTAATTAATCCAAATTCCAATGCAAAAGTTACTGTTGAAGCATGATATAAGGAATGTTAATATAAAGAAGAAATGTAAATAAATTTTTAACTTTTTATATGTCTGTTAGATTATAACTTATTTAGATGTAAACAATGTGCACAGAGTCATTGAATTAATTTTTATATTGTCACAATAAAGTTGAATAACTTTCCAAAGCTTTGAGTCACAATTTTGCATTTATTTGAATTTGAGCATTTCAAAATATTAATAATGAATATATTTGAGAATTATGACCAAATCTGGCTTAATGCAATGGGTTTCAACTGCAAACTTCTTTTGTTATTCCAGAGGTCTTAAGATTTGAAATTTTTTTACATTTGCTTTATCATTTAGTAAGATGTATGAAAATATATTTGTGAAATAATATGCTCAATATAAATTTTTTAATGATTATTTACAAAAAATGTTAATTCTTTCCACAGCCGATGCAAATATTCAGATTACCTCACTCCAAGAAGAAGTAGCAAAGAAAACAGATGACAGCATTCGTCAACAAGAAGAAATCACTCAATTACTTTCTCAAGTCGTTGATTTACAACGTAGAGTTCGTGATGTGAGTTTTAAATAGCTTTAAATTTTCTTATTTTTTATTGATTGGAGAAAACACAAAATGTTAAGAATTTTTCTCATTTTAGCTAACAGCTGAAAATGAAATTCTTCAAAGTAAAGTACAGATAGCTGAAGAGTGCCAGCAAGAATTATCTACCGAATTAATAGATATTAAGGAAAAATATGGTGAATTAATGATAGCTTTACAAGAGCTGCAAGAAGAGGCTAAGAAAATGAGACACAATAAAATGCCAAAAGCTGCCAAATGGCCATATGGTGTATATACACCTTACATTAATCCAGATTCATTGGCTTCAGAACTTGAAAGTAGTTTAGGTCTTAGCAGCAATGGTTATTCTTCAGATGAAAAATCGTAAGTCAGTTCTACTATAATTATAAAATGAAAATATTGATAATTTAAGTTTTCACATTCTAATTTTAATGATCTGTATATTAATGAAACATTTTAAATTATCATACTTAACTTATAAATAGCATCTGTTCTAAAAATCAGTTGCAGATAGTTTTTATAGCTAAAGTTGATTTTATGAACAACTTTGATATTAATATACTAATTATTAACCCATTAATGTACAAATTAATCGTTTTTGTATTTTAATGAATTATTTGTGTCAGGTAGTCAGGTAATTATTTGTGTCAGGTAGGTAATTATTATTTGTGTCTTTGCTCTATAGCAATGACAGCAATTCAAGGAAAAAAAATTGTACATTACTGTATCTTCTTCCCTGGCCTGCCCTCATTTAAAGATCCTAGTTGTTTGAGTTTTCATTTAATCACTTCGTATCATTTTCATAGCAATTTTTGTTTTATTTGTTACACATTTCAGCATTATATGTCACTGCAAAATTTATTTTCATATCATCTATCCTTTCATATCTACATTTAAAGCACAATACAATTACTAAATTCTTTTCTTGGTGATAAACTTGACAACTAAACAAAAATGCATTTTGTTTGTCATAATTGTCTTACTACCAAAAGGAATGAAAAATGCAGCTTCTTTACCGTTTAACTTTTTCTGCATGCTTTTACAGCCATGAGAACTACTTAGTGTTCTGTGTTCCTTAATTTTGTTTTTCTTTGTTATGTATTTAAACCCTAAGTTTTGCCAACATTTCAACTTGTATTTTTCTTCAATTTAACATTAGTTTTCCAAACACTGTAAGACTGGAATAAAGTATGTCAGAAAAAACATAAACCAATGAACCTTATAAAATGAAATTACACTATTTGAACATTAGTTTTTCTTCACTTGTACAGATAAGCTTTCCTGGAGTTTCTATAAAAATTCTAACATTCTGAGCAACATTTTCCTATAAAGAAGTAAATATTTTAAATCATAAGACACAAGCCACATTTTATGAAAATTAATTTCAATTTTTTTTTACATCAGACCTTCTTAAATAACAGAAAATACTGAAAATAACAATGTTACAAAAGAATAATTATAATTTTATTAGAAAACTTAATAACTATTTAGATAAATTATACTTAAATATAAATCAGTTTCAAGCCATAACCTTAATTTACAGAGATAAATATTTTTAATCAATAAAGATGTAATTCACAAAATTGTTTATAGGTACATTTATATTTATTTTTGTATATTTAAATCTTCTAATAAAAATGAGTGTGATTCAACACTAATTCAATGGATGCGCTGTTGTACATTCTTCAAGTTTTCAATAACAATAAGCTGGAAATAAATAGTCAAGGTATCCCCTGATAGAATATATTCAAAATACAATTTATAGCAAATACAAGACGTGTTCAATAGAAAACCAGAAAAGTGCCATTCAAAGTCAGGAGGATAAGCAATAGCTTAGTAATTTTGATACATGAAACTTTCAAGTCAGAGGCCACAGTAACTGTGACTGGCAACGTTGTTAATGCATGAGAATGCAAGGTAACTGACCAATAAAATGCTGGCACATCTCCAGCAGTGCATGAAACAAGAACAGTGTAGTGTTATCTGATTTTTGACAAAAACCAACTAACTTCCATTGGCACATGCAGGTACAGTAAGGAGATGACTACACGAATTGCACACAAGTGTAGGAGTATAGTTCTAAGGTTACAAAAACATCCACGGTTCTGTGGAAGATGCTCCTTTGTGTTCACTGCAGTCCCAGCTTTAGAGAATATTTTACAGAACTGTGGCTACCTTAGAACTCTACTCTTACACTTGTGTACAACTCGTGTAGTCATCTCCTTACTCTGCCTGCATGTGTCAATGGATTTCAATTAGTATTTATCAGAAATTGGACAACACTACACTGCTCTTGCTTCATGCACTGCTGGAGAGGTGCTGCCATTTTATTGGTCTGTTGTTTTATGTTCTTAGGTATCAACAGTGTTGCCAGTTACTTGTTGCCTCTGACTTGGAAGTGTTTTGTATGTCAAAATTACTACTCTTTCTTATCCTTCCAACATTTAATGGCACTTTTCCTGTTTTATATTGAATGTGTTTTGTATAAAAACTGTTAGAGTGAAACAATTCTCATTGTTATAAACAAACAAAATTTGGTTTTTCTCATTCACGTAACTTTTTTTATAAACAGCAATATACAGATTAAGCATTTTACATACAACAATAAGATATTAAAATTTGACAAAACAAATTTATTGTCCTAATAAAATACAAGGAGGTGATCTTAAATAATAAACAGTTAAAATAATAATTCTCAGTTTTTTTATTAAAAAGATTTTTATACAAATCAAGATTTTGAATAAAATTTATATTGTTTGAGAGAAGAAATAAAAAAAAAACAGTTCTGCAAAACTAATTTCTTAGAAAATTTAAAATTTCTGTTTTATATGTTTAGTTTCTTATGTATTCATATTTATTGAATATAAATTTAATAAAGATGATGATAAATTTTAAATTTAGAGCATATTTGTAATTTTCATCTTCATATTTATTTTTGAAATGCTCAAAAAAAAGATTAATAATTGTTCATTCTGTGAATGTTTAACAGAACATCAAAATAAAAATGATTCTATTGATTATCTATTGACTGAATCAGTACATATTCTAAAATTTATATCCAATTTTAGAAACTACATTAACCAATTCTGAAAATATACAATATTGTATGTTACAATAGAACTAACAGTTCAGAGCTATATTGTAGTATTCTGTCAAATACTGACTGACTAGTTTAACATTTTACTAGTTATATTTTATTTTTATCAAACTTAAAAATGTTTTATTGAGTTAATAATTTGTTTTGTCAAATTTTTAATATATAACTTTTTAGTAATATATTAAAAATTTAAAATATGTAAATATTGCAGGATAATACTATTTAATTTTAAAGAAACTTAAAAGCTTTGGTCATTGACAGAGAGATAAAATTGCTCTTAAAATTTTATAAAAAGATGCTTTTGTCTGCATTATTTCATACTATTTTAATACAATTTAACCTTGTTTAAATTTATTAACATTGTTATTAATGGTATGTCTTTTTTATTTAATTTATAATTTGCTAAAATAGTTTTTGAAAAATAATGGAATATTGTAATAATTATATTTAACAAAATGTTTTTGTCTTTTAATTTTAAAAAGGTTAAAAAAGCTAGTGCATTTAAAATGTTCAAAAAACATAATAAATGTTTCTGAAGTTTTTAAATCTATAATTTTTCCATAAAATTTAAGTTCTCAGCTTTTTAGAAAAATAATTTATGTACAATACATCAGACATGTAAACATCTGAAAACATAATGGTTTCAGAATAACATTTTGTTTTTCTGAATCTTACAACATAAATGTAATTTTTTGACATATACTGTATTCTAAAAAATTAACATAATTTATTTCTCCTTAATTATTATATTGTCAGATTGTAAAGGTGAAGGAAAAATTAATGACAATTAAGTCAACCCCAATTATTAATAGTTCAGTCTGGTAGGTAATCATCATCATCATCATCATCAATTGCATCTTGCTACCTTTGCTGTAAACTTTCATCCTCATAAGTATAGAATGATTGAGTTTTCTTAGTTGAAAGTTTTGAGCATCAGGTATTGGCAATATGGTTCTGCAGGGTGCGAGTAGGTAGTAGTGAGTTGGTGCCAAGTCTAGGCTGTAAGGTAGACAATGTAGGACATCCCAGCCCACACTGTCATGAAAGAAATTTAATGTGAACAACTGGATCATTTGAACACCAAGATCAAAGAACTTAATCCAAAAATTGTCAAGGCAATATTGGACTTTGTTAATTTTTGGATTAAGTTCTTTAATCTCGGTGTTCAAATGATCCCGTTGTTCACATTAAAGTTTTTTCATGTCAGTGGTGTTGATTGGAAGTATACCTCTGCCACAATGACACCAAACAAATGTAGATTCACCTCCTGCACAAAGGGCCTTTTGACATTAGCAACACTGGTTGACCTTTGTTTATCCATAAATGCTTTGTTAGAGTTTAGATAGCCTTTGTTGCATTGTGGCCACTTTTGGAGTGATAGAGCAACAGCATACAAATATGTTCTTTTGAATATTGTCTGGCATTGCTGTTGTCTCTTTCCAATGAAATACATGATATAATGGTTTTTTAGATTTTTAATTTTGATATTAAGATAATGCGTCTTCAAAATGATACATATTTATATCTCACACACAAAAATTCAGACAAACCTTAGATATGTACTTTCTCTATTGTCATAATGATACATTAAAAAAGCTTATAAAAAATATAATCAGAGAAATTTATTTTTTTCTTTGTCAGCTTAGTGAGCAGAGCTTTATCATTATTTTTTTATCTTTTTTTTTTTTGTTTTAAATACTTTTTAAGATAAATTATTGATATGATTGATCATGAAAGTTAAATATTATCTGTGTGTATTCAATTTAAGAAATATTATTATTGTTATTTTTATGTTAAGATTTATCATCAAAAAATAACGTCAAAAATAATCCTTGAAATTAAATCTTTTATATTTTACATCTAATTCAAATTTTACCAGATTTCTTTTGAGTTATAACTTTTTTTTTTTTAATTAACAATATAATTTCGATCTAGAAATAGGCAGAGTGATGCCATTTCGTATTAAATTTAATAATTGAATATAATTAATATAGAATGTCTGGAAGAATAAGAGACTTGGAACAGGATTTTGAAATATTTAACTCTCATATTCAGTAAAATATAGTAGGTTACAAAATACACTGTCTGGATCATCATTCAATCTTTCACTTTCATACATATCTATAAATGAAAGTTACAGCATTATCTAGCTCTAGATCAAAATTATACTATTAATTCAATCAAAAACTGTGAGTTATTAGCAGAAAAGAAAATCTGATTACATGTTTGAAGTTTGATTTGGAATTTCACTGTGTTTGTTATGTATAAATGTAACATCAAAATTTTGTTATTTAATACTAAAATGAATTTAATGCTATAGCTTAGTCTTAGTGCACATGATTTTAACATATATATGACTTAAAAATTGCTGATCTGTTTTTTGGATTATTATCATGAAACAACTTAGAACTTTCTTGCAGAATCCAAAGAAAATTGAGAGAATTGGATTCTGCAAGAATATTTGAAGCATCATCTTTAATTAAATAATCAACCAAGAATTGAGCAGATAAAGATTTTTGTAAGACTTATAATTCTATATAGTATATTTCTAAAACACTTCTTTCAAACATCTTTTTATCTAAATTTATAATGAGAGACCATTCTACTCAGATTTCTCAATATAAAACCAACAACTGCTTTATTTGGTGATCTCACATACTAAAAATTATTCAAAAAGCAAGTGTTTTCAGAGTTGTGCACCATCATCAGGATTCTAAACTTACAAAATTCATTGCTAAATGGAAAATTTGCGTATCAAACACTTTTTAAAAAGTATAGAACCCGGATGGTGGATCGTGATTCTGAAAACTTTTTGGTTTTTTTTTGAGAGAGTTCTCTGAATAAAACAGTTGTTGGTTTTGTATTTGTTATGAGAGTTCATTTTATGATAAAATCATAATACATACAATACTAAAGAAATGAAATTTAAATCAATTTTAATGTAATTGTAAAAAGATAATTTTTTTACTTAAAATCTTATCTTTTTAATGAAAATTCAAAATTGTAAACAGTATTAAAAATTGTTATTAATGAATCATTTTATTAGAATTTATTTTGCATTTAAACATAACTGATAGATATTAATATATTAAAAATTAATAAATAATACAAAAAAATTCTAAAAATAATTTTTTTAAAGGTCTCATAGCAAGAGAGTATTTGATACAGTGAAATGTGCTAACAATTATGGAAATCCTCGAAGACGTGGTAGCTCTCAGTCGCTATATACGCAAAGTCCTTCTCGATCCACACTTCGCTCAACATATTCTTCACTTAGCCAAATATCTTCCGCTTCTTCATGTAATGAAAGTCAGGCATCAGATTCAGAATCTGCCTATGCAGAAACTGATGATGACCAATACTCGTACGTACTTCTGAATTATTTTTATTTCCAAAAACAAATAGATAATATAGTTGACTCTCAAAAATCTAATAGCCAAAACTTTTTTATTTATAATATTCTTAAAATAGCACTTTCAAGAGCAATAATTCATATTTAATTTTTATGGCAAAGTATAAAAAGCCAGATACACAATTGTTTCTTAGTGATTTGATAAATTAATTCATATCTAGCTTTATTGTTCACAATAATAAATAACAAAATATTTCATTCAGATTTCTTCAACTACAAGAGCAATAAATTCTTAAAATTGCACACACAATATAAGTAGTGGTTCAAAGACTTTCCAACTGTTTATTTTACTGTTTATTTATTCTTATGAAAAACAATGAATTTTAAAGCCTTGATGAAATGAAAAAATAGAATTGCTTTAAATTTATTCATAGACTTAAAGCCATTTACCTACTTTATCTTTAATTTATCTTTTTGAAAATATTTGGTAAATTGATTTTACATTAAAATTGATAATGAATCAAAATCTGATGTTATATTTTAACAATTAATATATTTCAGGAGTTTTAATTTGAAATTTGAAAATATTTCTAGAATAATAGAAGCAGCTGAAGTAGATGTAATACTTTTCAAATTGAAAATCATATAAATAATAATCATGCAAAATTTTTAAGAAATTCTGTAATATTTGACAGAAAAAATTATCTGAAATAATTTAGCAACTTATAAAACTCAAAAAGTATGCAAAGTTTTGTTTTAAAACAGTCTAGATTTTTGAGAATCAGTTGTATTTTTATTATAATTATGTACTTTTTATTATTTGCTTTATTATCTATGTAACACAAAATTATGTATTATACTTGATTCAAATTACTTTGTGTTTGTTTCTAGTTTCTTTCATGTGTAGCGTATATAGTAAATATATTTCCATTCCACTTAAGCATTTTATATGCTATGGAACATCACATTATTATTTACATAATAAGTATATTTTTCAATATTAAATACACAATAATATATGGAGAAATAGTGCTGTTGTCATGAAAATGTTAGTAGTGAGTTGGTGCCAAGTCTAGGCTGTAAGGTAGACAATGTAGGACATCCCAGCCCACACTGTCATGAAAAAAATTTAATGTGAACAACTGGATCATTTGAACACCAAGATCAAAGAACTTAATCCAAAAATTGTCAAGGCAATATTGGACTTTGTTAATTTTTGGATTAAGTTCTTTAATCTTGGTGTTCAAATGATCCCGTTGTTCACATTAAAGTTTTTTCATGTCAGTGGTGTTGATTGGAAGTATACCTCTGCCACAATGACACCAAACAAATGTAGATTCACCTCCTGCACAAAGGGCCTTTTGACATTAGCAACACTGGTTGACCTTTGTTTATCCATAAATGCTTTGTTAGATTTTAGATAGCCTTTGTTGCATTGTGGCCACTTTTGGAGTGATAGAGCAACAGCATACAAATATGTTCTTTTGAATATTGTCTGGCATTGCTGTTGTCTCTTTCCAATGAAATACATGATATAATGGTTTTTTAGATTTTTAATTTTGATATTAAGATAATGCGTCTTCAAAATGATACATATTTATATCTCACTCACAAAAATTCAGACAAACCTTAGATATGTACTTTCTCTATTGTCATAATGATACATTAAAAAAGCTTATAAAAAATATAATCAGAGAAATTTATTTTTTTCTTTGTCAGCTTAGTGAGCAGAGCTTTATCATTATTTTTTATTTTTTTTATTTTTTTGTTTTAAATACTTTTTAAGATAAATTATTCATATGATTGATCATGAAAGTTAAATATCATCTGTGTGTATTCAATTTAAGAAATATTATTATTGTTATTTTTATGTTAAGATTTATCATCAAAAAATAACGTCAAAAATAATCCTTGAAATTAAATCTTTTATATTTTACATCTAATTCAAATTTTACCAGATTTCTTTTGAGTTATAACTTTTTTTTTTTTTATTTAACAATATNTAAAATACTTAATTATGTTGCTTAACATAGTAGTTTATATTATTATGAACATTAACGACTCAAATTACATCAAATTACAAATATTAGACCTCTCTCTTTCATGACCAAAGTTTTAAATAGTTTTATAAATTTTCTAATTTGTTTAAAATTTTCTAATGTTATCTAAATAATTATTATTTATAGTTCTGTCAGTGGTCAAGATAGATTGGGTTCAATTTTACCTCATTCAAATACTATAGAAAGCACGTTAAGACGCTTCAGTAGTGGTATTGGAACGGCAACAGATTTAAGTAGCGATGATGGAGTTATCCCGGCACGCTGTTGGACACCAGAATCAAATTTTTCAATTAACAGTAATAGAACTGGATTTTCTGGAAGAAGTGGTATTAGACATTACCATATGCCTGAAAAACTTCAAATAATAAAGCCATTAGAGGGTAAATACTGTTTATAATTTTATTCTATTTATTACACACATTGGTGTGATTAAATATTGTATTGCCTACTTATTTTCATATTCTTAATTGCTAAACAAAAAAATTGTTGATTTGTGCATCCTGTTAAGTTGTTTGTGTCATCTTTCCTTTTTTATAATGGATACAATATGATAAAACCTGTTGTTGTAGATTTAAATATTTATGGCAATAATTTGTCTTTAAAAAATTTTGCTCTTGTTTATATTGCAATTTTCACTTTTATTTCTTGAAAAAAGCATCTTTAAAATAATTTTTGTTAAATACCTTTGTTTCTAGCTTTTAATATTTGTGTATAGTTATTATTTTAAGTTGTTTTACATAATAAAAATTATGATTTCAGGTTAACTAGAATACTCAGTTTTGGTTAAATGAATAAATTTTGTTTTTATTGTGTAACTACATTCTACAAAGGTTTAAAAAATATTTATGAAAACCATAAAATAGAATTTTAATATTCAATTCAGTTATTTATTGTATGAATCTTAGTTCCTTACAAGAGGGTTAAAATATTATATAAAAACTGAAGTTAGTACAATTTAACAAATTAATATAATAGATTAGTACTACAGTACTACATAATAATTATTTTTATACGTATGTAAATCTGAAATTAGTAAAATTTAACAAATTAATTAAATAGTATGGGATAACACAAAATAAAATACACTAAAATAAACATTTTTTGAAAGATGCAATATATTAATTATATCTTTCCAGGATTTAAATCTTGACAAATACTTTCTCCTATTTGTTTCAAATTTGATACATGAAAGAACACATTGTTCTCAAGTTTCATACATTTGCAAACTACAGTTACTGCAGATTCTCACAGGGTCTATTATTAATCTAGTGTTATACATCAAAATATAATTTTGACCACATCTGAGCTGTATAATTAATTGTTTTACATGATAATTTGTCCATAGACAAATAATCCTCACACATAAATTGTTTTAAAAATACAATATAATTGAAAATGCTTGTTCTTTTTCAACAAAGACCAACCTTCTTGTATCCTCTGTTTGCAACACTTTATAATTAATGTTTCATAACTTTTGATCAAATGAGGATCTTAGAACAACTTTAGAAATGAGAAACCCTTTCGATCTAACAGATTTTTCAATGCCACTGTCCAGTCATATGTATAATTATCCATTGTTAAACATAATTTATACAATTTGTTACATGCTACTTTAATGAAACTGTTATCATGTAGTTTCAACAGTCTAATTCGAAAAGAAACTATTGCTTTTATTATTAATACCAATATTCTAGAGACACCAAACTCCAATTGCAATGTATATGCTGGAATTTTAAAAATTCTTTGAGATAAGCAGAATTAATTTTAGCTTTTGAAAGAATAGGCCACATGGAACCCAGTGCCATTTTAGCCTTACAAATACTATAATTTTTAGCATGTAAAATCTGTGCAGAAGGCAGAAATAATACTCCCCGGTATATATAATTTGAAATAACTTGTATAGGCTGATTATTAAAAGACCATCTCTCTTTGGGTGATAGTCTGCCATCCTTCTTGAACACTGTCACTTTTGTTTTTTGAAACCTTTATAATTAATCTATAGTCACAACAGAATTCCTCTAAAATTATGACTTTCTTTAGTAACATTTGTGGAGTATCAGCAAGGATTACAGTGTCTTCAACATACATTAGTACAAGTAACTCAAGTTGATCAGAGAGAGAAATCCCAGATAAACCAGATTTAGCAAGTTGCAGTATCAAACCATTAACATATAAATTTAGTGGGCTCAGAATCTCACCCTGCAAAGCTCAAATTTCAATACGAAATAAATCAGTCTTTTTGGCTAAAATCTTTACTTTTGCAGTGATTTTGGAGTATATGTCAATTATAAGGCCAAGAAACTGTTCATTCATATCCATTCTTTCTAATAGAGACCATAAAACTTTATGATTAACAATATCAAAAGCAGGGGCTGTATTCTGGTCATCGTCTCTCGTCTCTCACAAGCCAGTTGCTGATTGGCTAATCATTTGTTTACGTCTTGAGAGATCATCGCGTCTATCTAAATGCGATTCTGGACAACTTTTTCTATCTTTGCTTCTCTCATTTGTCAGAGACAAGCGGGTAATTGTCTTTCGATCGGTCTATTGTCTTTCACCTCAATTTCATTATATCCAATATGGACAACTGTGTGCTACTTGTGCTGTACAATCGTTTTAGAGAGCGTTCTCTACTCGGGAAAGAATATTTCCAAAGAGAAAATGCTTCTGATTTTTTTCCAGTGCCTACTCAGAAACATCACTGATTATCCTACATCAATTACTGAACTATCGAATATGATGTTAATCTTACTTAGATAAGGAGAAATTATATGGTAATATTTCAAAAAATATCCAAGTATGCACGCTTTTCTAACTTAGGTTATTAAAATTTTTAGTTGTTAAGACAAATTGACATTACAATCTGTAAAAATGTTATAAAACAAAAAACAATCATTTATCAAAATTACATGCTTTATTTGAACACGTGCTTTCCTTGCCACGTGATCTATGATTATGTACTTCTCATTTTCAAAAATTTTACAATTTTATTGGTTAAAATCCTATACCGTGTTGCACACACAGATAACCCAAACATGTAAATCAACATATGAATTGTGACATCAACAACAAAGACGAGATTGTTATGAACAACCAGAATTGCCACTGTGTATGAGAGACAAATTTCATCTCTCACTTTGACATCATTCGTCGGTGAAAGAAGAGACAAGAGATAAGTGACCAGAATATGGCCCCAGATCTAAAGTCTACAAAAACAGCATAAGGTTTTCCACTCTTTTTCTGCAATTTTAATTGTATTAATGCATTTAATATAAATATGTGATTCTGGCATGATCGGCCAGGTTGAAAACCTGCTTGCTCCTGACACAAAATATCATATTTAATAATTCAATCTTCTAATCTTTTATTTAATAAAGACATAAATAATTTACCCATTACAGGAACTAAAGATATAGGCTAATAATTTTTGGGGTCATACACGTTGCGTTTTTATATATTAGAATAATCAAAGATTCAGTTCAAAATGGTATTTAATATAAAAATTGAGTTAAATTATTTTGAAAAAACAATTGAGTTTAGTGAATTTTGAATCATATATTTAATAGTTTCCATGAAAACCACATCTTAAAATCATACAAAAATTTTTTAAAATTTTAGATATTTTTCAATTAAATTAGTTAAGAACTTGTTAACTTCTTAAGAAGTTAACAGATATTGTATATCTGTTGATATACAATAGATGTCAGTTGTTATCTATTAACATCTAATTGTGTACCATCTATTGCAATGTTTTCTTCTGGTGTAGAAATTCAATTATTGTTAACTCTCAGTAATCCAAATCATTAGCTGTGCTAATCAGAATTCTGTTAATTTGAACTAATTTTGTTTATTTTTCCATTAAATGTTCAGCCAAAAACAAAATAAATCAATATTATTTTTTTTACAAACATTTCACTTGTAAAATTAATCTACAATACATTTTAACATAAATATATGTACCAAATACAGCATTAAAAATTTTTAAATATGTGTTTGTCAGTAGCTCTTTTTGACTTTTTTCTTAATATACAAATGTAATTCAAATTTTCTAAACAATTATTAGTTAAAATTAATTTAAAATGATGCAGAGAGAAGTAATAATAATAAATTTTTAAGAAAATAGACAGATTACACTTAAAATCAATGCTGTTTTCTTGTAAGGGCTTGAAATGTTAAACTTTTATGCTTGGGTGCAAAAAAATATTTTTCTGATAATGTATTTGATATCTTCTTTTGATTGTATCCTTTAATTTTCCTGTATGGTGATTGTTTCTACTGAAACATTTCCTGTCAAAAATAAGGCAAATGTAGTTTTACAATATTACATACACAATAGAGCATGCAAAAAATCAGTTAACTGAAATCTACTTCAGAGAGTACTAATTCCAGAAATTACAAATCATTTTTTTTATGTAGTAGTAATCTTCTGTAGGCCCACTAGCGAGCTATCATTATCAACCTAGTGTCAGGTTTTATTTATTACAGTACAAATGAAAAGCATGATTAATGAATCACAGGTTCTAATGCATCACTGTGCCTAAGAACAGTGAAGCATTTGTTGCATTAAAATAGTATTGATGTGGTTAGAAATGCATTCCAAAGCAGTTTCTTTTTAACTCTTGTGGTGAATAAGCAGGCCAGGGATTTAGCAGAGTTAAAAAGAAAATAAAACTATGTAAATAGTAGCTTTTTTCAAAAAAGGAACTGTAATAAATAAGTTTTATGTGAGTACTGTACTTAATATTTAATTTTACTGTTGTATATTTTTTACTTTCATTTCAAAATTTTGTCAGTGCATTGTAGATTGTAATGAAAGAATAGTGCTTGTTTTTAGTAAATTAGATCACCAGTGCCCAAACTGTGAACTCTGGGTCAACTCCAGTTTATGGCATATGTTACGTTAATCTGGCCTGCAAGACTAAGTCGTAAACTAAATTTGGAAAATGGACTTATAAATGATAGAAATAGGCCTACTTTTGGTATATATGGAATATACAAAATATGTGTGGCCCTCCTAGGTACAATTTGGCTTGCCAAAGTATAGGCACCACTGAATTATTTTTTTTTATACCTTATCATTTGAATGTGTTACATTTCTATGCTTTAAACTATTTTGTTAGTGTACTAGTATTGTAATACTATAATATCTTTTATATTATATTATGCATCTTTTTAATCTTTTCCTAATAAGTGTCATCAATTATCTGAAAAAATTAGTTGTTCAAAATTGTCCTTCCCCAGTTATTTCAGATAATTGACACTCTACTGTATATGTATATATCAATATATGTATTGCACATATTAATATTCTGAAGTGTTTAGGTTCTCAAACATTGCACCAATGGCAACGTCTTGCTACTCCACATCTTGGTGGAATCTTTGAAGCACATCCTGGTGTTCAGATTAAAGGAGAAGTCAAATTAGAAGATGAAGAGGAGACTTATAATCTTAGTGATTATGAAGAAGATGAAGGTATGATTAAGAGAACATTTAATTCTTTTTAATGTTTGTTAATGAAATTAACATGTATTTTTTTTAATTTTGTTTTTATAGAGTTTTGCCATCCTGGAAAAAGCTTTATGAACACATCATCCATTTACACTTACACTAATTCTACAATACTTCATCCTAGTGATCAGACACAGGTTACACCAAGGTAATGTTTTTATTTTTAATATACATATGTATTAATTAATTTTTAATTTTAAATAATAATAATTATTTATTTTTTAATTATTAAAACAATCTCTCTTTAATAGAAGAATTTATAACAATACTGTAAGGTAGCAACATATAAAATATGTATAAAACATTGATATTATGAAGGCCAGGATGTAGCCAGAAATTTTTGAGTTTGGGTCACTTGTCTATGCATGCTGATGGTTTGCATAGACAGCATAGATATGTGGACTACTATAAAAAAAAAGCAATAGCCAACAACCACTATCAAAACATTTTTGTGTAAGGAGCTGCTCTATCAATATTCAACTCTTTACATGTTATATGCAAGCCATATGACAATATACAAGCCATATTTGTTATACATATGACAATGCTCAATAAATAAATAATAATAAACTGAACAAATTCAGTATTAAATTTTATTCTTTACCTTGTAGCTGTTCCAAGTAGCTCTTAGTATGTGAGGTTTTTGTTTTATGCAGTAGTCAACTCCTTGTAACATTGTTTTTGGCTATGTTTACTTTTAAACTTTAGTAGAACAGCAGAAAGTGAGAGGTGGAAGAGTGCTAGTGTGGAGGAACTGTTTTGTATCACTTCCTGTGGCTACCTCCCTAAAAAAGGATATTATTAAATTGAATATAATAGACAATATGCGTGTAGATATGAAAAAGTAGAAAATATGAAATTATTAAGATAACATTAATTATATAATTTAATTTAAATGTAGTAATTAATTTTACAGAATGAATTGAAAATATTTTGAAAACCTTTACATAATACTTACATATATATGTATAAAAGCTTAAAATACATAAAAATAATTAATATCCATTATCCAAAATTAATAGTTTTTTATTGTTAAGAGAGAGGAATTCTTATTTTCTGAAAGAATATTGTTTTAACCATAATTGAAAGCTTGTATCAAAGAAATATATTTGAACATATACTGTAACTTTCATATTTAAACAGTAAATAGATATTATTAGCTTTATTGAAAAAAGAATGGTTTATATCTTGGAAACTCTTATGATTATATTAATTTGGTGTTAAGTTATGATGATTTGATGATCGAATTGAAACACAAAATCATATGAAACAATTTTTAAATCATTTCAAAACTAAATTGTTATAACATCATTTCCATTTCAAGACAATGAGTTATACAAAATACTTTTGCCTTTCAATTTCTTTAAGCAAATTACTTTCTGAAAACAATGAGTCTGTATTGATACTATGACTTTTTCCATATTTGAGTTTTGACTATTTTTAATTCTTGTACTTGTCAAAATTCAAAGTCAGTATATAGAACAGATCAACTATCATGGCTGCATTTAATACATATTAATTTGGAATGCTTTCTCATGAGTTTATTATGATGATTTTGTTTTGCATAAATACTTTATTAATGTATTTTATTTAAACATTTTCTGTTATATTTGATTAAATAATAACACTGTGCAACATAATTTTAACAAAAATTATCTTTAATAAAAAGTAAAATACATCTGGATACGAGTTCAATTTTGCTTGCAATGTCCAATCACCAGGAACAACTATTTCCATTGCAGAGACAACCTTTCTTTAGAGGCTATGCCTCTGCACAAATATACAAAACAGTTTAAAATGTCCACGGGTGACAATTCCAACACAATTAAAAATATATTTTTACAAAGAAATATTATATGTTTAATTGTGTTGGGATTGTCAAACTGTTTTGCATATTTGTGCAGAGGCATAGCCTCTAAAGAAAGGTTGTCTCTGCAATGGAAATAGTTGTTCCTGGTGATTAGACATGGCAAGTAAACTTGGACTCGTATCCAGATGAATTTTATATTTTATTAAAATGTAATTCTGCCAGCCCATTTCTACAAACAAATATTATATTTTTAATTGTGTTGGGATTGTCACCTGTGGACATTTTAAACTGTTTTACATATTCGTGCAGAGGCATAGCCTCTAAAGAAAGGTTGTCTCTGCAATGGAAATAGTTGTTCCTGGTGATTAGACATGGCAAGTAAA